AATAGGAAGAAAACAGTGAAATTAGATAACCATATCAGTGGGTGCGAAGAGGTTTTGTATGGCGTATCCCAAAGTAGCGTTCTTGGTCCTACGCTTTTTCTTATATATATATATAAATGACCTATATGATATACAGATCAAGAACGCTAATATTTTCTCTTATGCTGATGATACAGCCATTGTATTCATTGATAATTCTTGGGATGCTCTGAAGTCTAGTACGGGACGGGGACTGGAGCGTGTAAACAGATGGTTAAGTAACAGTTCTCTTATGTTAAATACTAATAAAACAAACCACATCTGTTTTAGTATAAATAATGACACTCAGCCCAAAAACAATTTTGACTTAAAGATTCATAATTGCAAAACCACAGGTAACACCAGTAACTGCACATTCCCACACAACCCTTCTATCATTAAAGTTGCACAATCAAAATATTTGGGTGTTCTTGTGGAACAGCGACTCTCGTGGCATCCACACCTCGAACATGTCATTAAAAGAGTAGGAACTTAATTGGATTTTTAAAACACTAAGATATGTAGTGACAGGACCAGTCGCTGGTCTGCGAGTCTCGTCGTCTAGGGATATACTTGAGGAAATATACGTGAGGTTGGTTCAATCTGTATAGATTTATTGTATTCCTGTATGGGGTGGAGCTGCCAAAACTCGTTTACTCGAGGCCCCCCAACCGGCCCCCCAACCGGCCCCCCCCCCGGCCCCCCAACCGCCCCCCTAACCGGACCCCAACCGGCCCCAAACCGGCCACCCAACCGGCCCCCCAACCGGCCCCCTATCCGGCTCCCCAACCGAAACACCAACCGAGGCGTTACTTCACACCGACACAGTTGCTTCAGCTGTACCAAGCGCATGTCCGGCTGGGTACAGCATAGCTCTGCTAAATACCAACTAGCCACATTTGATTCAGTATACAAGCGTGCTAAGAGGCTTATAGGTGACTCGGAATTAGTAGAGTTGCTAGCTTATCGGTATTCTACAGGATATATCACGGAGAGTGTGCGATGGAATTGCATAATTTGATTCCGCCTTTCCAATATCGGGGGACTAGACGTGGGCTAGGGTTCCAACCCTATGTTGTGGACATTCCCCGGATTCGTACGAAGCGCTTGGCTTCCACATTTGTATGGCGAGCGGCAAGGGAGTGGAATTCCCTGCCTGCAGACTTGTTCCCGGACGCTATAACTTGGACCTTTTCAAGGCGAGAGTGAATAGGCATTAATTCGGTGTGCATGCCACATCCTCGACCTCACCGTCACTTTCCATCAGGTGAGATAGAGGTCAAATGCGCACTTATTTTTTATAAATAAAATAAAAAAATAAACGATTTCTATTCTATTTCATAGATAGTAGAGTAAATACTATCTAAACGAGGCACTGATAAATAACTTTACTTGTAATGGAGATGTGGATGGACAGGTTTCATTCCAAATTTAATCAGACTCTATGGCATTGCACTAAGTCCAGCGCAGGTACGTTAGTACAATAATATCGTAAATCCTAATGGCATTAGCACCATGTAATGCCATTACACTGTGGTATGTAAATTATTTTGTTCCCGCAGCGTGTGCGTAGGTACATGACATTGCGTATGTAAAAGAGCAAGGTAACAAGATTTTTCACAAAATTTGATTCACAGCGAAATTTCTGCTTAAAATAGATTATTTTTCCGGCACGGATGTGATGCGTTACCTTGATTTAATAATCTTACAATTTATTTAAGTATTTGAGGAACGAATTATGAGTTTAATATTAAATTATTACGCTTCAGATGTTAGAGACCGCAAAATGAAAACCCATTTGCATGACGACGACATGAAATTTATATTTGAATTATACACAGATGTAGTGTATTTTTCGTTTTATCTATATAGCAAAACTAAAAAAAGGAAATGTGTTTTTTCTATCTCGCTATAACATTCGTGATATCAGGTATGATTGCGCGCGATCGCGCGTGAAATGGCTTCTCTGATCCTTCTTAAGCGCCAATACATCGCTCCAGCAACATAAGAATCTCTATTATGTTTTCGCGCAATTTAAATTCAAATTACGTATAATAACGTTAGTCTTGAGAATTTTGCAACCATAATGTAGCGAAGCGCAGCACGCGCTACAAATCTTTTTTGTACATATACGTAAGTTATATAGTCTTTTTAACAGTTTAGATTTATATTGAAATTCTACATTTGAATGTTCTTGCTATTGGCGCCTTGTACTTCCATTTGTCACTATTGCTTCTGTTGTAACTATATATTGTTGTGTAAATAAACTGTAAATAGCACCCACCCGAACCCCATTTATACCGTCCGCTACACATAATATTACGGAAATAATATTTTCAGTCCAGGCCAGGCCATAATTCGTAGCCTTCGTATAATGAAGTCACATGAAAGTCATACAAAAATTATGCGAAACACGTTAAATAAATTATATACATATGTATTTTGGGGAAGAAAAGGCGTAAAAACCAGCTTTATCAAAAATGAGCTATTGTATTGGGTTGAATTTTCTAGCTCTTTCCACTTCCTTAGACGCAGAAATATTTTACGTGAAAAAAATTAAATTGTTCCTTAATAATTGTAACATTTAAAAAAAAAACCGACGTCCAAAGTTTGTGGAATTACATCTATTTGCCAAGTTTTATTGAAATCGGTTACCGGAAAGTGCGCGAAACCGGATTCATCCCTTAGTTTGCCACCCTTAGAAGTGAAATCCTTCAAATTTAAATGGGACCAATAACGAGGTACTTAGCCTCTTTCCCACAAAAAGAGAATCATCAAAATCGCTTCACAAACCTCGTAACTATACAAAAAAATACAGTCGAATTGAGAACCTCCTTTTTTTCGCAGTCGGTTAAAATTGTGTGTAGTATAGTAGTGTTTATAAAGATATATTTATGACTCGCCTTGCACACTTGTGGTTTGGGTTTTACGTCTTTTCTTCCTGGAAGTATCGATATGTGAAATTTTATTTAAGGATAAAAAGCCATCGATTAATTTCGTTCGTAGAATCTTTAAATTTCTTTCTTGACAAGTTGACATTTTGGAGGAGTAGCCTTATTGCACCAAGCGTGCGAATTACAATGTATTCTCCATAAAAAAACTAGTGCCACATTGGGAGGTAGGTTCTTGATATGTGATTTAATGTTAACACAAGATGTTATGTTTCTATGATCTAGTTTTGTATCAGAATACACAGAAATGGATCCATTTTTAAAACTAATATTTGTCGTGATAACAGAAATAGCACAATTCACGAGACGTCTCTAACATTGTTGCTGTCCAATTACGAACAGCCTAGATTCCAATTTACTCGATTTAGTACCATGCTTCTTAGTTCCTGACACGGTCTTGCTCGCTTGCCTCGTTCAAATATTCATTTTACACTGAAATAACTTTTGCGAACGTTTACCCCAGAATATTCGGCCTAAGCCCGCTTGCTTCCATTGATTTTTGAGACATTAAATTCCAAAACTACAACTTTACGCATATACACGCGTACAAGTAGATATTACTTGATCATGTTTTAATACTTTACAAGTTTGTCTTCAAATCAATATTGTGCGGTCCCAAGTATATGATTAAAATGGATATTTTCACAAAAGACATTGTCCCAGATCAAACATTTTTTGTTCTTTGTATTTACATTAAAGGACAATGGTGATACAGCGCGGTCTTTGAATTTGTGTTTTTGTTCCTTTACGCTAATTAATTGAGGGTTGTAGAGTCATATTTATATTGAAATGATATTCTTTTCATGTCGCTGTAGACCGCGTAAACCTATCACGCGTTGACTATGTTTAAGTTGTTGTATAGCGTGTCCGTCCTCGCTAATTCAAACAAGACAATTTAAAAATAACAAATACTTTACGTGGTCATTAGAAACTTCAATAAGACCATTATAGAGATCTATTGTTTTTAAAAGTTTTGGTGCTCTTGGAAGTGTGATTTCTTCACATTTGTCACATCGCGTACTCGGCGGAGGGCCGTCTGAGAGCTGCACTGCACTAATTGTCAGCCGCTCTCACTGCACCGTCTGACACTTCTGAAAGAGTTGCCGCTGCCAGTTATCTTACATCCCGTTAAAAACAAAAGCAACTTTCCTCTTCAATTTCTTACGTTTCAATTTTTCTTTCAAATTTACAGCCATTTCTTTTGTAGGCGTTTGCAACTACATCAGCTATTTAAGGAAGGAATATCTTGTTCTTTGGCCGCAGGTACGCTATTGAAGTAGTAGTTATTAGATAATTACTTACATCAATTAGAACTAGTTTCTTAAATTTTGTTCTATGCATTCAATATAATTTAAAATAAATTTGACCTTTCTTGGCTCAAAATCGAGACTCGAGCTCGATTAATGGAACTGGTACCCACTGGCAGCTAAGCTAATAGACAAAACCGCTGAACTGCCCAACTTACTTATTAAATTAGGAGAACCTTTGTCCACTAATAAACAAAATGACAACGAAGCTTAATAATTTTTAATATTGACTGAATATTATATTGTGGTTAAATGATAATCCACAACAAATATGAACACTAAGTTTATGGAATATCACGCTCTTTTACTATCATGATATTCTCAACTAGTTTGTTATAATAGTTTATACGAAGATCAAACACTAAGAAAAATTCCTTCGATACGGCTGAATTCGAACCTGCACCTTCGGCATACCGTGTCTGATGCTCACCCAACTGAGATACGAAAGGAACCAGCAGATACTACTCTGTCAAGAAAGTACCGGGAAAAGATCAATAATACACAAAATGTCTATTATTCATCCAAATTTATTTTATCACCTTCAAAGTATGCTCCTTTAGAAACGATACACTTGCGCCAACGAATAATCCATTCATCAAAACATTTTTTAAACGCTGCTTCCGGAATTGAGTTCAGTTCTCGCCGCGAATTCTCCTTTATGTCTTCTATCGATTGAAAACGGGTGCCACGAAGTGGTAATTTGAGTTTAGGAAAAAGAAAAAAGTCAGCAGGAGCCATATCTGGTGAATATGGTGGTTGTTGGATGGTATTTGTTGAGTGTTTGGTCAATAATTCGTTCACAATGATAGCCTTGTGCGAAGGCGCATTGTCGTGGTGCAAAATCCAAGAATTTTCTTTCCACAATTCTGTTCTTTTTCGTCGAATTTGCTCTCTTACGCCGCATAACGCTCAAATAATATTCTTTATTTACCTTTAGACCTTCCGGTAAGAATTCAGAGTGCACAACACCGCGATAGTCAAAGAAAACAGTCAACATGACTTTGACTTTTGATCGACTTTGGCGTGGTTTTTTCGGTTTCGGTTCAGTTGGAAGGCGCCACTCCGAAGCTTGTTGACTAGTTTGCATGTCAAACTCGTAAACCCACGTCTCGTCACCGGTAACAATGCGTTTCATGAATGTTGGGTCCGTATTGACTCGTTCTAGCATGTCCTCAGCGACTTTCATGCGATTGAGTTTTTGGAGAAAATTCAGATCTTTTGGGACTAGCCGAGCAGCAACATGTTTCATACCCAAATGATTAGTTAAAATGGTACGGATCGACTCGTGAGATACAGAAAGTTCGGCGGCTATCTGTCTCAGAGTTGAATGGGGATTTTCAGTCACTATTTCCTTCACTTTTGCGATGTTAACTTCAGTTGCAGACGTTGACGGCCTACCAGATCCAGGCAAATCTTCCATCACATCTCGACCGCTTTTTAACGCTTTGAACCACTCATAAGCACGAGTTTTTGATAAAGTCGAGTCACCGTAAGCCTTCTGTAACATTTTCAGTGACTCTGAACACGAAATTCCATTGGCGATGCAAAATTTAAGACAAACTCTTTGTTCGATATTTTTGTCCATTATGAAATTCGCAATACACACTATATATGATATTACTAAAACCAGCACTGTATTTAATATTAGGGGTTAAAGTATGAAATTGCCGTTTTATTGCAATAGGTTCTTTCAATTTTCATAGAATCTTCATGGTTTGAGGTTTTCGAATGAAACTTTT